CAACCAAGTTCTTCATATACAAAAATAGAATCAAGGTAAATTAGAGTTAACATGATTTTTGGCCTTCCACCCGTATTTAAGGGCCAGTTCTTTCCACGAACGAGTTTCGGGCGTTGTGACGTCCAAAATCTTTTGAACCCACCGGTTCAAACCTTCCACCATCGGCGGGAGCCATCGAGTTACTGAAACATGCGCAGGGTGAAGAGATGATACGACCATATAAGAATATCTAGTAAGAGGAATAATATACAAAGAACTTACGAGTGCGGTTTCAAGCAACCAGTAAGGATGAAGCCGTTGTTGGAATGATGTCATTGGTGGCAGCTGAAATGAACGTTTTCATTCACCCACGGTCGTTGTCATCATCCATGTTAGAAAATAGAGCATGGTGGCCACGCTTGCAAAGGTTTATCATTCCCCCGCGGAAGATTTTGGGAGAATAGAGATTCATCACATGAGCTAAGGTTAGCTCCTCCCAAGTTGGTTGGCACAAGTGTTGGAGGTAGGCGATCATCCTCCATGCTGAAGGACTTACTTGTGCCAAGCATTCCTGGTAGCGAAGGCAAAACTCCGCAATCACGGAATCTAGCTCTCCGCTCAAAGAAAACGCACCCAAAGTAAAGGAATAAGTGAAAAAATATGTAAAACTTTCTTTGGGAAGGGACACTCACTCCGATAGATCAGGAGCGATAATTTCCAACTCATTGCAGCGGCAGCCCTCATTCACAGCAGGAATACTAGAAGGACAAATGGAAGAAGGGTACCTACTAACACCCCATGTACGAGGGTTAGCAGCAGGAAATTTCTCTTCAAAATCCTTCGAAGTACTAAGCCTTCTTAGGATGATGGAATCTACTGTTGGAGGAACGGAATCCTCGGTTTTGTTCTTATTCTTTGTAGAACCACCACGTTTGGAGGAAAAAGCCACTGGAAAAGAAGAAGATAAAGAGTTTGTGTTTGAAGAAAATTATAAAAAGGATGAAAAACAAGGATGCAAGCTCAAGCTATTGTGAAACGCAAAGGAAAAGAAAGTTATGTATAAGTAAAATTTTGGTGGCTAAATTCGTGGCCATGATTACCTCGATAATCGGCAAAAACTGTGTTGAATCATTGGATGACGCGTGTTCGGGGTATTAAATGCGGAAAGACATGCGTCTAATCAACTGTCAGCGACCTTCGGAGGGAATTATAGTAATTCCTCCCAAAAAGATATTTCTACCAACTTCCCCGTAACACAAAGTTATATCACCGGATAGTAGGGGAACTATGTGTATAGGGTAAAATATAATATGATATGTGGCTGACTAAAAAGAGGACACGTGGAATCCAAGATGGAATGGCTGAGGATTGAATGCAGTCACGACGCTTGTCATCGGGACAGATAACGTTCATAAAAGTGTATTAAATGCTCTGCGCCCGGTAGCATTTACTAAGGAATATTCTACAGCATTAAGAACGACGTTCTGTTTCAAGGAATTTGGCATTTACGCTCAACGTTATATCTTCATCAATGACCCTTATAATTGGCATTATAAGAGGACATGATCCTTGGATCTTTTTCCCTAGGCATAGCTATAAATAGTGAGCTCAGTTACCATTGTAATGGATAAGAAATTTCTGGCAAGAATATATACTATATTCTATACAATGCTTTATACAATTTCACTCTCTTGCTTTTTGATCTCATCATTGTTGTGTTCGAAAACCTTGTTCACGGAATCGCTACCTTTGCTATATCATCTACATTCCAAGGCTAAGTACTGTGTATTTCTTCGATTATTATATTATTTCAAGATCAAATTAGTTCACTTGTCTAGAAACCACGTATAAATTCAATTGTACCATTTTACGAATAAATAATACTAATTTCTCAATTTCATTACTAGGAATTCACCATTTTACCATCGAATATTAATGTCCATTAAAAAAATCAATAACCTACCCTATTGAGATGTCCCCTTTAAAATTTAGTTGGTTCAACATTATTCTTCTTTTTAATGAACTAGTATAGAACCCGCACAATGTGCGAACAAATTAAAAAATATTAATCATGTCGAATTTTGATCTAACTTAATATTTACTATAAGGGGTTTCTGATTGCATACTTAATTACTTTAATTTAATAATATAAAAGGGGTTCTAATTACCTTGTCAAAAAACGAACTTGAAATTAGATTACTTCCCAAACACCAAATTAGGCAAATTAAGTTACTACTAACTTTTCCAAATAGATTATAAGTAATCTTGGTTACTATTTTCCCATACAAAAAAAAATTCATTGCAAGTCTTTTGTTTCCCTATAAATACATTGCTAAAAACAAGACTTAAATTGCAAGAGATATTAAATAGTAACAGACTCATAGATTTATTGTAGTGCTATCAAAATACTTGGAAGAGAATGGAGAAGGAAACATTTTTCCTAAAGGTTTTCTTGGTGTCCTTTTTGCTTATTTCATTAGGTAAATAAATATTTATTTATAACAAATTCATAACTGTCACAGTTTAAAAGAAATATAATAAATTCTTAGCATGAAACTCAATATTACAGTTGTGGCAAGAAAATATTTATATTTATAGCACACAGTTCCATTAAAATAGGAATATTAACTATTAGTCCCTAAACATAAGCAATTTGAATGGAAAGTCAATAATTCTTTGTACAAAAATCATGCTTTTTTTTTTTCTCTTTATCAATTAGCTTTCCTTCTTTTTCTTCATCTTCTTAATTTTATTTTCTGCTGAAGCCAATATATTTTCTAAATTTGTTCCATTTATTTTTTTTTAATTATCTTTCTTAAGTTTTTCTCTTTCTTCTTTATTCCTTTCTTAACATAAAGATCTTACTTTGATAATAATATATGTTAATATATACAAAACGTATATATAAAAAAAATATACATTGAATTAACACATATAAAATATATAAAAATATACATAAAAAAATACATCTTCAATTAAGATGCCACGTAGACATGTGAAATATACATAAAAATATATCTTAAATTTAATTAAGATGGAATATAAATATACATAAAAAATAATCCTGAATTAAAATGGCACTTGATATATAAAATATATTTGAAATATACATTAAAAATACATCTTAAAATAAGATGGCACTTCACAAATAAATATACAATAATTATATACATATAAATACATTTTGAATTAAAGTGATACTTGATATACAAAGTATAAAAGACGTATAAATCAATACATCTTGAATTTAGGTGGCATTCACATATGCATTTAGATTTTAAAAAATTGAGTGAAGAAGATGAATGTTAGAAAGGGAGAATGGGATGGACAAAAGAAAATACTTTCTGTGATTAATGGGTCAGTTAACTTATTAAATATTGAGCTTAATTTTTATAATATGCTAATAATGGAAAAAAAAATATTCTTTATGGAATAAACAATAAATGATACTATTTATTTAAATAATAGTTAAAAAGGGATCAAGCGGGTTAAAAAGCCATAAATAATCTAGCCCTCTTTCTCTCTATTCATTTGTATAGGTCACAATTAAAATAGTAATTTTCAAATTTTCAAATTCAGTAAAGTAGCACACTATTGACCCAATTAAATTTCTTATTTAATTTTTGAAAAAGAAAAAAAAAATTAAACAACTTAGTAATTCGCATTTTTTGATATGGGCACAAATAGAGATGTAATGTCTCAAACTCGTTGTTATTTAAGTTTTTTTCTTAATTTTTTAAGTCGGTGTTCACACCTACTTTTGAGTCTCATTAATTTGAATTTGTGCCAAAAAATCTCATTTTAAGAGTAAAGTGATCCTTACCAAAGTGACTTTATTATCCTTTTGTGGTTGCTATTTAAATTAGATCTCCCCTCAATCCTCATCCTTTATTAACTCCGGAAAAAATGTCAATTATGTAATAGTTCACATTCAACCAGATTATAAACACACTTTATTAGTTACAAATATGAGCTTGTGCATTTTTTTCTCAATATCTAGCCTGTCATATTTAGTAACTAAAAGTTACTGTTCATATTCAAAGATCTTTTTTGTTTCTTTTTGTACTATACAGCCCAAATCTTTTTAGTTAGTATTATTTTTTTCCAACAACTTATTCAATAATGTCGATGGTGTTATTTAGGACAAGCAAGCAATGAACATGTGTGCAATAAGGATGACGACTGCAATGAACAAATGTATTGCATATATGGAACTCGAGCATGTTACGTGCTACTGTAAACTTCCTTTATATCCACCTACTTATAAACCAAAGACTAAAATAAACAGCAGCATGATACACACAGTATTTTGTATTTACGTATAATATAAAAAGGACCGTATCCTTGGAAGTATAATGTAAACAGACTGATTTCTGTTTTTGTCATCATTTAGAATGATCAATAAAAGTGCCCTGTCTTCATTCTTTTGGAATATGGTCCATTCTTTTCGATTTTGTTACCGCACAACATTGCATTTTATAACATAAATATCTCTAAAAGATAATTACAAGTAATAAAATGATGTTATGAATCACCTTTAGAGAAATCAGAAATCAAATGATTTCATACCATAAACTCCCCGGAATGAAAGTATCTACCAGAACATGATGATCAAGTTAAATAAGCTATCTCAGAAGAACATGCTAATCAAGATATAAACTCAAAATACTTAAATGGAATGATAACACCACACGAATAGTCTCACACAGATCGTAAACTTCTGTAAAAAGGTGTCTTATAATGGCTCCAACAATTTGATACTTTGTGAATTAACTGTTTTTTGTACAGAAAACAACCACGAACATAATTTGCTCTTGAACATGATAGCCCCGAACAATTTTTCCGTTGATTTTGGTCAAAGTATCCAGAATCGATTGACCAGATTCAATACGGATCTCATATCCACATCTACACCCATGTCGTGTTGATACGGATACAACACCCAAAATAAAGAGTCCGAACAACTTAAATTAGTTCACATGTACGAAAGGAGTATATTTCAAAACAATGTCACACCTACATTAAACTAATTTCTCCATCCCTTTTCAATATTTTGCAATAACAAACAAGCTCAACGAGTTATTTATTCTCACACTCGAAGATATCAGCACCACTGAATACATATTTCAAAAGGATTTTCCACTACGGCTAGAAAAATAAAAGAAAAATACTACTACTAAAAGAGTATTACACATAGAAGCAAACTTTTAAGTAAAATAAAAACCTCAAAAATACAAAATGCTACTCCACTTCAAAACTAGTTTACATAATATGCTCTACTTATATAGACTCTGCATTACTAGAGAAAATACCTTGAGCTAATGTTCGAATACCAAACGCTACGATACTGAAGTACCAAGCTGTGTTGCCTGAGCTCTCCAAAAATGTCTCTGGAGGTTTGTCAGATTCTCTAAAAATAGTGCATTTTTAGAGAATTTGAATACGGATGCGATATCATTTTGAAAAGTCCACGCAACATAGGTACCACGTCCTCCTAGGACCATAACTTGTAGTCTATCTTGCTGTCACTTGCCTTGGAGATAATCCCTCTTCTGATATATCAGAAAACGGATCAATACTTTTAGACAAAGCATACACAATTTCCACCATACTAGGCCTTTTTGAAGGATCTTTATTCAAACAAGAAATGGCCACAGACATCACATTCATAACACTCTCCATTGTACATTCCTCTCTAAGAAGACTATCATCCATCCATTCTTGCAATTTCTTCACTTTTCTCTCTTCACTCCCTTCCAAGATTTCGCCAACTTTAGCCCACAAAACTTTCCCTTCATCGTCGATAGCTTCTCTCCCTGACATAAGCTCGAGCAACACAACCCCGAATGAGAAAACATCCATTTTAGTCGATACAATACCATCGGTGAGATACTCGGGGGCAATGTAGCCCTGAGTTCCAACAATGTGCATCGTTATAGCATTGCAGCCTGATTTAGCAAGTCCAAAATTGGCAACTTTGGCTCTCATGTTTGAGTCTAGGAGAATGTTGCTACTCTTAATATCTTTGTGTACAACCCTTGGTCTTGTATGTTCATGGATATATAAGAGACCATTTGCAACATCAGTGGCTATTTTTAACCTTGTTTTCCAGCTCAATTTTTCTTTTATGCCCTCGTGAAGCCATGAATGTAATGAACCATTCTCAACATATTCATAAACTAAATAGCAATTTGCTTCTTTAGGGTCTATGCAAAAACCATCTAGCTTCACTAAATTCCCATGGTTCACCTACCAAAAACATAAAAGGGAAAATCATTAAGTAGGTGTTTGAACTTAAAAATTATAATTTTTGAAAAAAATAATATTTGGAGTTAAATTGAAAAATAGTATTTTTAGTGACATAAAAATAAGACAAATAAAGCACTAAATGCAACAATACTGCAAGAGAGGTTGCAAAATAGGATATGATGACGTTTCTTTATTGAAATAGGTAGGCTAATAAAATCAATTCAAAGTAGTACAGCCAAGCTAAGCTAAAGTAGTGGAGTATTAGATGTAGGTAGCCACACTCAATTGCAACTAACAAACTTGAGGTCATAGGGAAAAAAATTCATTTAATTTGGTTTGAGTTTTTGTTTTACTTAATCTTTTCAATGGCAAAGTGTTCATCTTTTTGCGTTTAATTCAGTTTATGCGCACAACTATTTCATTTGATACCTACTACCTTCCACCAATAAATGTACCAAATAACTCTATACGTCAAAATTTAGGCATAGACATATAGAAGAATTACTTAATATATTTTTTTCTCCGTTAAAATTTAACTTAGATTTCATAATACTTCTTCTATTTCATTAGCCACTATTGTTAATTTTTGATATACAATAACTTTGCTTATGGGTCCATTACCCTGCCACCCACCATTCTTGTTAAAAGGGGTTTGAGGGATTGGTAGGGTCTCCTCACAAACATCAATGAAAAAGAAAAAACAAAAGGTGAATAATTGAGGAACAAATAGAAAAAGTTTTTTAATGAAAAGATATACTGCAGAGGACAAATAAATTCAGGATAGAATGGTGTTGATTAACTTAAATAATATATTATTAAATTCAAACAGGCATAATAGTCCACTTGAATATTATAGTCCTAATGACTTAAGAATACGACAGGTCACTAAACCTCACCAATTTTTAATTAAATACTTTGGAGGAAAATCTTTTCTGCAATGGAATTCTAACATTAGTAAATTCTCAATGATGCAAAAGCAATTCTAAAGTGGAGGTTTAAATTTGACAATAAGGGGTCGTTTGGTACGATACGTAAGAAAAAATAATTTTGGGATAAAAATTTAATATTGTCTTATTCCTTGTTTGGTTACTAATTTTGGAATAAACTATCTCATGATTAAAAATAGTATCGAGATAATTTATGTAATGATAAGTTATCCTAGGATAAAATAGTAAAATTGATAATCGCAGGATTAGTACAATACATCAAACAATCAATAAAAAATAATATCAGAATAACTAATCACAACATAACTTATCTTCGAACCATTATACCCCTCGATAAAGTAGGTGTAAATTTCGAAGCTAATGTTCTAAGTGGGCGTTTGGACATAAGAATTGTAAAATTCTAAAGTAGGGGGAAAAAATTTCTAACTCAAATTGGTATTTGAAATTTAGAGTTGTATTTGGACATGAATATAATTTTGGATTGTTTTTGAAGTTTTATTAGTGATTTGAGTGAAATTTTTTGAAAATTGAAAATTGAAAATTTTATGAACAAAAAACGCTTATTTCCAAAAAAAATCAATTTTTTTTGAAAAAAAGGGAAAAAATTCTTATGTCCGGCTCTAATTACAGCGGAAACAAAAAATTATTAGGAAATTTCCTGAAAATTAGCAGATAGTCAATAGAACAGTTCACAATAAATAATTTATGGAATAATAGTAAGCACAAACAAACTCCAACTCCACAATATTTAAGAAAAATCTAACTTTTTACTGGTGTCTTGTTGGGATGAATACAAAGGCTTAATTAAAGTATAGAATTGGAGTAAAATATTTACCTTT